GCACATTAATATGACCCTTCAGCAAAGGTCGTAGCGACCCGTAGCCTGAAATGTTAGTCATCTCCCGCACTCAACCTAATCGCCCGGGGATTAGATTGAGGGCGGGAGGCCGGGAGATAACTGACAGTTCAGGCTATAGAGGTCGGCACACACACTAAAGGGCATGTTGCGTGGACGCGAAGCGGACACAAGCCTCTTCGTGCATGTGTATGCACATAGTGCGCGGTCAATCTGGTGCACACGAAGCGAATATTGATTAATTTCTATGTTGTAGCAGGGAGAGTTTGGGAGAGCAGTACACACGATTCGACATTGAAAACTGACGTCATTTTGTCCCTGCATCATGACGCACAGGTTCACAGCAGCTGAATCCCATGCAACATGTCGCGGGGACAAAAGTTTGTTCTCAAAACAATTTTCCTTTTCACAAAACAGGCAAGTCACGCGAGGAAAACTGTCGATGCACTGAGCATGTCCCCTCTCAATAACACTTTGTCTTTCCATTTTCACATAAAACAAAAATTGCCAATAATCGATAGATCCACACTACGCCAGAGAAATTTGAAGACTGTACTGTGTTTTCACTCTGAAAACGTATCATGAAAAGTTTTTCGTCCACACTACACCGGAGAAATTTGAAAACGCAACAGTCACCGGTCATTGTTGATTTGAGTTTAAAAAAAAACCTCGAGCAGGGAAATCACATGATTATCGTGACAGCCTTGTTTTCGAAAAGCTTCGTTTTCAAAATGTTTTCCGTCCACACGTGCAACACGCCGGAGAAATTTGGAAACGGTGTTTTCACTCTCAAAACGCATCAAATGTTTTCCGTCCACCCTATATCGGAGAAGTTTGAAAACGCAACAGTCACCGATCATTTTAAAAAACCTCGAGCAGGGAAATCACATGATTATCGTGACATCATTGTTTTCGAAAAGCTTCGTTTTGAAAATGTTTTCCTACCCCTAATACCTCTAATACCCCTGATACCCCTAAAACCCCTAACACCCCTAATACCCTAGTACCTCTAATACCCCTAATACAGCTACATGAATTAGGTCTTGATTCTGTGTCAGCCATACAGCTAAGAGAATGCCCAGATTTAATCTCCGGGTCCCTCGCTCTGATATTCAATCAATCAATCGACACTGGTATTTTTCCCGATGAATTGAAGAGTGCAGTTACGAGTCACGCCTCTTTTTAAGAAAGTTGGAAGTAGGAGAGGTCCTTCTAATTATCGACCGATATCGATTATCCCGGTTGTGGCCAAGGTTTTCGAGCGGATTACTTATGATCAGTTGTATCATTATCTAAACGAAAACAATCTTCTGAGTAGACACCAATCCGGTTTTCGCTCGCTTCATTCTACAGTTACTGCTTTGATTGAAGCGACTGTTAACTGCTCTCTACAAAAATAGGTGGAGCTATAAAAAGAATATATTAAAATGGAAAAATATAAGTGGCTTAAACATCGATCGTGGCTTTATTAATGCCGTTGTATTTTTAGATCTTAAGAAGGCCTTCGATACTGTGGACTATGCTATTCTTCTTTCGAAATTACAAGCCTACGGTATTCAGGATTCCACAAACCAATGGTTCTGTTCCGTATGTAAAGAACCGAACCCAAACGTGTTTAGTAAACGGGAATAAATCGTCTAAAATGCTCACTCCTTCGCTGTGGTGCTCCACAGTGAACGATTCTTGAGCGCCCGTCCTTCTATTTCTATTATATATAAATGATCTGCCTAATTGTGTCCAGCATTCCTAACCAAGGATGTATGCCGATGATACTAGTATTACTTTTGTTGGTGGTAGATGTTGATGAAATGAATAATTGTATTAATCTTGTT